TCATCGAGCCGCGCACTCTCCCAGTTTTTTCTCATGCGAAGAACCTTCCGATTAGCACGCATGTCAGCTACCCTCTCTCTCTTCCCGATCTCCTCCCTCTTCGCTTATAAAAGCACCACTTGGGGAAGGGTTGTTGCATCCTTGGTTGGTTGTTGTTAGATCGCTCCTAGCCGCGTGTGGTGGTCGAAGCTTTGATGTTCTTCCTCGCTGGTAAAAGGTGTGCCCCTAGTGTGTGTTACTTTGCTGCGTGTTCTATGTCAATTTAAATCCCCTGTAACAATGATAAAAACTTGACCTATCCTGAAATTACGCAGCAATTTAACTTTAAAAAATATAGCCAAAAACTTGACCCAATTTGTATTAAATATTTAATGTGCAAAATTTAAATGTTATATAAAATATATAAATTAGTTCACACTATAGGTTCTGCGCAAGTGCACGTATCGCTTAAAGTTATACATGGATTTCCTTAAAAACCCTAGTATCGATCCCACGAAGAAACGAGGTAAGAGGTCATTAGAGGACATTAATCAAATTCTAGTCTACTACTATTAGTCCTTAGTTTGGAAGGTCGATTTAAACGGTTTTCTAACAAGTACTCCTAAATGTAAGTTTTAAGTTTAAAACAACTAATAACTATTCCTAAATGAAAATATTAATTCTAAAGATAACCCTTTTTGGATAAATTTGAGATGTTAAAAATTGTTATTCTTATGTAATAAATTGGATAAGATAAAGGAATAGTTTAAATTTGTATTGTGCCAAATAGGAACAATTTTAATTCTCTACCCTTATTCAGTATTATAGAGAATTGCTAGCTAATCTCAGGTTTTGTCCCTAAATCCATGGTTAGGCTGGGAGGATATTGACTCTCACTTCAGAGCTCCTACTTCCCTTCCCTTGAAGGCTAACTGTAGCTTTAGTTCTTAAACACTAAGATCAATATATATATATCCCTGTTTATTTGCACTAAACCCCCATGAAATTCACCATGCATGGAATTTGAATGTGGTTCCACTTTGTTGAGAACTACACCGCCCTCTTGGGTCTTAATGCAATTACAATGAATTTTGACGCTACAACGGGACCTTATTGTAATATAAAGGAAGTGCAAATAAAAACAATCACATTTATAATAAAAACTTCTTCTAGCATGCATCCCAATATCCTAAACATGAATCATACTCATTGCAGAAGAAAATTAAAAGGAAAACAAAGACATAATCTTCTCATGCCACTATTTCTTAATAAAAAGAAAGAGTAAGAAAGATACATCACAAAACACAAAAAAACACAACGAAAAGCCTTTTTTAGTCAAAGCAAATCTACTAGATAAGTGTTTACAAAATCATAAGATAATGAAGAACACAATACTTAGTTTTTTTCCCTGGAATGAAAGATAAAAATCTCTCCCACAAAGTCTCCCGCTGATTCATGCAATGCTAGTACATTTCCTTACAAATTCTCTCAAAATCTCATCTTCAATCTCTCCAAAAAGTTAAAAATCTACATTTCTACTCCTATTATAAGATCTTTAAACATTCTCCATATCTTTTCACTCACACAAACACTTTTTCTGACATAAAACCACTTTATTATAGTTTAGGGATGAATTTCCAAAGAGACGCCTCAAGCAACCTTCCAAAAATCGTCCAAATTCAATGTATATGTGCAAATAACAGTCCCTGTTGCCGTTTTTGGGTGTTGTCGGTGTCGTTTCTCGTAGTTCTCTGGACTCTGTCGCCGTCGGCGCCCATTCTTGCGCCATTGGCGCCACCCTGCAGCAGCTCCACTGTTTTGCTGTGTTTCGCCCAATTTCAATTGTGTTGCATTCCTGACAGATAGACCTAAAAATAAGCATGAAAACAACATTTCTTTAAAGTGTAATTTTATTTAAAAATATGTGATAAGTGTAAATGAGATTAAGCATAGTAAGACATATCAGTGTTAAGTCAAAATTTTCTTTCTTGCTAATTTTTACTTCAAATTGCACCATTTTTGTTTCATTTTCTCCAAAAGTCTATTTCTTGTACATGAAACAAAAAATATGCAAAATATCTTTATTTAAAGTGTAATATCATTAAAATCATTAAAATTGAGCATAAATTATATATGAAAAAGTAGGTAATTTTTAGGCATATCAGTAAACGACCCTAGTCGGAATTTTTTTTACTCTCCCAAAGTCTGCATTCTCATTTCCCCCCTTTCTAAGATCATTTGAGAGGTAAAGATCTCTTCTCTTTCTTTCTCTAGTTGATGGAAGGCTTGATTTTATAAAGACTATCCTCTTTTAAGTCAATCGCATAGAGTTTCTTCTCCTTTATGTTTGTGTTGACTTTATGGATTACGAAGAAATATATATATTTTTTAAGAAGATTTGATGGTTTCATTTCATACTACTTATGATTCCTGAGCTTTGAGCCTGACACTTACATCTTTAAAATTACTTCAATGCCTAACTGTTATACCAGAACCAATCTTTGAAAATCATTTGGATGGGTGCCTTGAAGATTTGGGGGTTTCGAATATGGGTTGAATCGGTTCGTGTTGATATTAAAGTTTTTTGTTTTACTACTTTCTCGCGAGCATTTATGAGTTTAAATCATAGGGTTATTGAAGCATTTGTTTATTCTTGCAACTTTTTTTTACAAGAACTCATATTCACATATCAATTTTATTATCACCATGAAATAGAGGTGATAGTGCGGGATGCAGGCATTACTCGTATTCTTTGTTATCAATGATTGGGAATCCCCAAGTTAGTAAAAGCTTTTTTCCTGTCGTTACTCACATTAGCAGCTTCATTGTATCAGTGATTCTTTGAGAAATCAGCTGAAATGGTTCTTCTCTTAAAGACACCTTTGCTATTGAAACCATTATTTAGATATTGTTTGGTTTTGCATTTTCTTAAGCAGTCTTTATATAGTACCATGTATATTTTATGGATTATTATTGGCATTGCTAATGCTTTAATAATGGTTACAGGCTTCCGCATGCAAAGTATGCTTGTTAGGAAATATAGAAGGGCAAACATGGCACACAATCATTATATGATCACTTTTAACTCTTTTTATTCTGGGGCAAACATATACATGTGCAGATTTTCTGATTTTTATTAGTATTTAATATGTACTTCCTGACATAGAAATGAGACGAAAAAGAACACAAGCAAACACAGATCGTTTACGTGGTTCGATCCAACTGGATCTACGTCCACGGGAGGGAATCAATCAAATGTTTCACTAAGGCAAAAGAAATGGAGAATACATAGCTTATACATAGAGATGAGTCATCATCTTCCTTCTATGGACTCCCTCTCAAGCGACACCTTGATACAAGGTCTCAAGATGCTCTCCTCTTCTCCAGCTCTCTAGTTATTCTCTCCTCCTTTGTGGTAGCTTATGATCTCTTCCCTTGTTCACTCCTAAGCCTCATACCCTCTCTATTTATAGGAGCAAGAGAGTGGTAACTGGGAGGTAGGTGAGCGGTAGGTGAGATGTGTTAGGTGAGCGGTACCACATTACAAAAATGCCCTTTTACCTTAGTTCAATAATTGGGGGTCAAAATAACAATTCTCCACCTTGACCCTCAATTTAGAAGCTTTGAAGTAAAGATTCCCTCCACCTGGCTCCTGAGAGGCTCTCAACCCTTGCTTGAGGTTCCTAAGTCCAAACAGTACATGGACTTAGCAATCATGGTTCTTCCGATAAGAGGGTACAAACCCTTTTTCCTGACTCCTTGTATGACGACAAGAGGGCCTTTGGTTACTCTGATGCAGCCATTCTCTGCCTTAAACGAGCATCCGCTTGACTCCAGCGCACCTAATGAAATCAGATTTCTTTTGAGCTCTGGTACGTACCTGACATTTTTTAGTACTCGTTCAACTCCATCAAACATCCTTATCCTGATTGATCCACTTCCAACAACCCTGTGAGCTTTATTGCCTCCAGTAGAACAGACCCATCATTTCCCTGTTGCAGTGTCTCAAAAGTAGCATTTTCTCAAAACAGTCTTTGTGAGGACACATGTGGAAAGAGCACCCCGAGTCAAGGATCCACTCCTTGCTAAATTCAGATTCTGTGATTGTCAGAGCTTCAGCTGAATCATAGCTATCTGAGGCTACGCTTGCCTCTCCAGAATCTTTGGGCTTCTCCTAAAAACTTTTCTTTCTATCTGGACAGTTCCTTCTGAAGTGACCTTCCTTGTGGCAGTGATAACACTTGTTAGATCTCTTAGAAGACTGACTTCTGCCCTTCCTTCTGGAATTTGATCTGCTCTTATCACTTTTGAAGCCTTTCTTGCTCAATATTTCTCTAACTGTCAGACTATCTCCACTAATTTTCTCTTTCAAGTCGTGCTTCTTCTGGAGTTCTTTAGCTCTAATAAGAGATTGAACCTCCTCTAGAGTAATAGTTTGCACCCTTCCATAGAGCATCACATCCTTAAAATGCTTGTAGCTCTTGGGAATAGAGTTTAACAACAGTAGTGTCTTCTCCTCGTCGTCCATCTTGACATCGATGTTCTCGAGGTTATCGATGATCTTGTTGAACTCGTCAATTTGCTCTGAGACGGATTTGCCTTCATGCATTTTGAAGGAGTATAGGCGCTGCTTCAGAAAGAGCCTATTAGCCAGAGACTTTGTCAGGTTGAGTACCTCGAGTTTGGCCCAAAGTGCTTGAGCTGTTGTCTCCCTCGACACCTCCCTCAGAACTTTGCCGCCCAAGCTCAGGATTATTAAACTGTGGGCCTTGTCCAGCATGCCGATCTTCTCCTTCTCGGTCATGTCAGCCGCAATGTCGCCGACCCTTGCAAGGCTTCTGCAACACCGGCTGAACCAATAGAGCTCTCATCTTTACTCTCCATAGACCGAAATCATTATTCCCGTTGAATTTCTTGATGTCAAATTTGGCGGAACCCATTATTGTGGTTTGATCCCCACTAACGTCTGAAATCCACTCCACTGAGCGCCTACTGCATTCTGAGAGCTGTCGCGGCGTGTGCTAGCTATCGCGGTAATCCTCCTCCTTCGCGAGATCTGCCCCTTCGCTGAGCGAACTACCCGCCTTCCTCTGCTCCTTCGCGGACAGTTCCTCCTCCGTCTCGCCGAACCGCACAACCTGCGGTGCTAATCCAGTCGATCAAAGCTTCCACTGCTTACCGAATCTGTCGCGCGCGTTGGCTGCCTGCGACGCGATCCGCTTGCTCTTCTGTTCGTGAATGTCGAACTCCTCTTCTTCGTCGCTGGCCGGGAACACCTTTACTCGGACACCTCTAGCCAAGAAGTATGGATCTTCCCACAGACGACGTCAATTGTTGTGAGATATGTACTTCCTTGCATAGAAATGAGACGCAAAGAACACAAACAAACACAGATCGTTTACGTGGTTCGATCCAGCTGGATCTACGTTCACGGGAGGGAATCAATCAAATGTTTCACTAATGCAAAAGAAATGGAGAATACATAGCTTATACATAGAGATGAGCCTTCATCTTCCTTCTATGGTCTCCCTCTCAAGCGACACCTTGATACAAGGTCTCAAGATGCTCTCATCTTCTCTAGCTCTCTAGCTATTCTCTCCTCTTTTGTGGTGACTTAAGATCTCTTCCCTTGTTCACTCCTAAGCCTCACACCCTTTCTATTTATAGGTGCAAGAGAGTGGTAAGTGGGAGGTAGGTGAGCGGTAGGTGAGCGGTAGGTGAACGTGAACGGTAGGTGAGCGGTATCACATTACAAAAATGTCATTTTACCTTAGTTCAATAATTGAGGGTCAAAATAACAGTACTCTTATCCTAACACTTCAAATCTTTAAATATTTATACGCTTAACACCTAAATCTAAATACATGATACTTACAGGTTTTTGCATGCTAAATATATTTGCATACTTGATACTTGATAAAAAAACTTGTAATTTTCGGATTTTTAAAATATTTACAAATATAGCACCCGAACTTTGAAAGTTGTAGATTTTCTTTTTACTCATCAAGTATTTACATATCTAACACCTACACTTCAGAATTTACATACATGTCACTCTGTTCTTAGGTATTTATTTACCCAACGTTTAATATTTCCATTTCTAGCATATGTACTGCTATGCTTGGTAGCCATTAAATGGGGAAATATGTGAAAGCTAGATCTATAAGAGTTCAGTGGCATAAATCTAAAACATGAGATTTAGGTGTTAAAAATGTAAATTCGTGAGAATTGAATGGTGTGCATATATTCTTGCTTGGATAGAAGTGCCGGAGCTTTACTCGTCTCTACAAGCCTTTAACTCCAATTTTATAATTGCAATGCAATAGGGTGTTAGGGGTCGGTCTTGTAGCACGTGCATTATAGGGGGGAAATGCCCTTGCTTGGGGAAAACAATAATTGAAGATTTTTTTTTTTTATCATGAGTTTCATTTTGGAGATATGAAGCTGTTGCGGTTTCAAAAAATTGAAAAAACTTCAAAAGCTTAGTTCTTTCGAAAATGTGAAATGTTTTGTGGCTTCGTGTTCGAATATCTAAAATGTTTACATTTTTGGAACTTTGATCGAGCGTATTTCTGGGAAAGTTTGAAAGCCCAATGGTTTTGATTTATGAAAGGTTTTGGAGCTTAAAATGTTACCGTTTTAAAAAAAATTACATGTCCTTTGTTTGATTCGTGAAATTTGGAGGTTTTGGAACCTCGTTTTGGGAAGCATAAAATTGATGTGAATCGGATTCATGAAAAGTTTGGAGACTCGCAAACTATTATTTGGGAAAAGTTTGGTATTAATTTATGAAAGATTTGGATGACGTGAATGCAACATTCGAGTTTAGGCTTGGGTGTGTAAATGTCTCAGTGTTGTGGGGCTATGCATGTAATCAACTCGGACTCCTTGTTGTTTCGGCTTGCTTAATATGCGGTTTGCAAATGATACATTTTGGATTGATTCATTTGCAGAACTGGAGGAAATGATACCCTTTTGGGTTGATTCAAGGATCATTGGGTCGTTTTTTTGTCACTTTTAGTCGATCATTTTAAACACGATTTTTGACGATCAATCCACCTTTCACCTCTTCTCTCTTTCAGGTGAATTGATCCCTCCTCTCTCTCAACCCATTTTTCTTCTTTTCTTCTTTGCTTCTTAGTTTGATTTAGGTGCTTATGTCTAAAGCATAAGCACAAATATATAGTTATCGCTATATATAAATCATCAAGCAAGGCTATAAGTTGGACGATTCATTTTGGGGTTGGGCCTTGGTGATAAGACATTCGGTGGTAGAGCGAAATAATATTTCATCATACAAAATTGGGACCCAATCCAGGAGCCCGGTGAAATGTATGATGACAATATTATTCACTGACACCATACTAGCAAGACACCCTTGCCCTCTTAGGTTGTTGGCATTTCTAGCCCGACGGTGCGATTGAGTTGTGGACAATCATATTTTTATAAAAACGATAAAAATATATACGATAAGAACATATATGTTGTTTTCAAAAGTATTTTGAATACCAAAATTGATACTACTTTTCTTGTATGTGTGAAACATATATGCATGCCAAAATATAAATTTTAAGTAATATAATTTGATTGTCCACTTGTCAATCACCGGTACTGGGTTACGGAGTACCCTCCTAAGTTGGTATAGTATGACACATTTCTAGTTGAATGTCGGGTTCTATACATACGGGAGACCGATGTTGTCTTCGGAGTCCCTCGAGAATATCTAAATCTGAGCCCACCCGAACCTGAAGGCTTATAGTCCACTTCGGTTTTTTTTTTTCACTTGTTATTTTCTTCGAGGGTTTCCTGTGTCTTATTGCAGTTCTCTTTGAGCTTATTTTGTGAGTCACTTGAGTTTTATTCGATAAGTTATGAAGCGGGGAGCCCCCCCAGGGCAAAATGTTAATTTTGGATTTTATTGCCTTAATTAAATTTTAAGATTAATCAAAGGGTAAATGGGTAATATTGATCATAACAAACTTTTCGGACAATTGAAACATAATGGGTTAAAAGGTAGAAACAAATTTATCACCTTTTCATGATAAGGGTAAAATTGTAATTTTGATGATCATCATAACTTGGAAGTCAATTCAATATGATGATCCTAAAATAATGGGCTTATGCTATGGAGATAGTAATTCACCCATCTTAAATCTCATCGATTGGTGGTTACATACTAAGTCTGATATTAATGAGAATTGAAATCTCATATTGTTTAATATTTAATTATCTTGAATTTACTTTCAAAATTGAAATTGAAAAGAGGTTTAATAATGAATTAGGGTTGTTATGTGAGTTTGCTTAATTGGGATTAGACAAAAATGAACATAATTAATAAATACTTTCAAATACTTTGTGACTTACTTTAATTTGAGGTATTAAAGATCCTTAATGACTTTGGATTTTCCCTTTGGGATACAACTCATGTAACTGTCAAATGAACTGTTAAGTGACTATCCAACTTTCTTTATTTCTTGGGATAGTTGAAATGTCAATGTTCACTGAGTAATGTGGTAATTTTAACTCAACCTTGGGATGATTAAAAGAACAATAAGATAAGGTCAAAATGAACTCAAAACGTTTCAAGAGGTTTTAAAACAGTTCAGGGTCATTCCCTGAACACTTTGAACCCTCGTGGATATTTTGAAGGACAAATCGAACTTATTGTATTTTGTTCTAGAAAGTCATCCATTAAAACCTTTCGAGACGTTCTGTGTCATAACTTAGAGTTTGTTAGATGCACCTTCAACTATTCTTGTTGCAGTTTCCTGCATACATATACGAATATTGTGATAGCTAATCTTTCAGTGGAAATGCCAAGAAAATGTCAGGTATGCATTTACAGTTATTTAATTTCTGCAAAATACTATAAACTGTTTGGTTGAGTACTTTCCTTTACCGGAAAAACAAAACAACTTTTTCAAAAATTAATTAACATTTTCAAAAATCTAAAGAAAATTGTTTCAAAGGGAATCATAAATCCTTTGAAATGTCACTAAACATAAAATGCTCTTTTGAATTTACGGGAGTCCCTCGGAGGAGGTAACCCAATGTTGCTAATGAGATCTCCCCGGTTTAAATGGGTTTCACAACTCGTTTAAGTAAAATAAATTCAAAAGAAAATAGTAATACTGGAACGAGGGAATTGTGGGATTCTAATCGATATTGCTCTAATCAACTTTAACCTTTTCCCCCATAATATTTAAATAACCTTAAGAAATATTTGATTTGACATCATAACTTGACACGTTAAAAAACTTGACCTCTAAATCTGATACTTCTCTCAATCTCTACAATTTGACACTTCTAAAACTTAAACTTGCTACGACGAGAACTTGGAGCTAGCATTATGAGCAGCACGGCCATCTTCAACAGCAAGACATGTCTACACCAGCTAAATCATTCCTTAGAATTAAAACAACAAGTCATAGGATTTCAAGGTCGTCTGCTTAGTGCAACATAAATTCTCAACTTATCTTTAGGCCTTTGTATAGTCTTATCACACAATATAAGCCCTAACTTGTTTTAGGATTCTGAGGTTGTCATTCGTCACGACCTAAATCCTCACATCTTCCAAACTGTTTATGGGATTTATGGGATTGTTTCACAAAACCTTAAGTCATAATTAATAAAATTGACATGATGAAACATTTAAATATTTCTCCTCTAAATTGAAACCAAACTGTATGATAACTTGGGAAGTCACCGAGGTTCTCCACAGTATCTGTGACATCCTCTAGTTCTTCTTTCTTTGGATTCTAAAAAATAAATGTTTCAAATTTGAGTTGTTCCCCTTTCACACATTTTTGTCCGATCTTTTAAAAAATCTTATCTTTTGAACTCCTTGAAGACAATATCTCCTGATTTTTATTGAAAGTTTTCTTAGGTGACTTCGGTTATCTAAGATATAATTAACTATAAGAGCTTATCTTTATAGGAAACTTTTACAGACCGAGTTTAATATAAACCCTATTTAATTTTTTATATTAAATAGGGGAACTTGTCGACTTATAATAAAATGTTTTGCATACCAAACATATGTCATATATTTCTTAGTTTATTTGATTGAGTCTCACTATTAAGCCATATATTTATCTTTCAAGATAGATACACAGCTTAAGGTATAGTGCTCTTTTATTTAAACTATTAAAGGTATGAGATCAGTTTGATTTCATATTTTTCTAAACTATATATATGTATGTATGTATGTATATATATATATATATGCATATATATAT